GCCTGTGGGTGACAGCAAGTCAGCGTCGCAGGTGACCTTGGGTTGCCTGCTGACGGCGTCAGGGGACCCAGAGACCAGTGCGCCAGTCGGCTGGGGCTGCCCCAACACTGCAGACACGGTGGCGTAAATGACAGACATGCATTCCCTCTCAGTCCTGGAGGCTGGAAGTCAGAGACCGCGGTGTCGGTGGGGCTGGTTCTCCCGAGGCGCCTCTCCTTGGGGAGCAGATGGCCGCCTTCTCCCTGAGCCCTCACGTGGCCGTCCCTCTGCATGTGTCTCCCTGCTGTCTCTTCCTCGTCTGACGGGGACACCAGTCCTACAGGATAAGTCCCTCACGCTATGACCCCATTTGACCTTGAGTACTTCCTAAAAGGCCCCATCTCCAAATTCAGTCACATCGGGGGTTGGAGCGTCAACACACGAATCTTGGAGGGACACACAGTTCAGCCCATAAAAGGCGGCAATGGCAGTGAGAGGCAGAAGTCCAGCCACACGCGTGAACGCGCTTTTCTGGCACGTAGCATCCCCGGAGGCGTTCTAATTTATCACCAAGGAAGGAGGAGCGAGCAGAGCTGCCTGATGGCAAGCATCTCTGCTGCTCGCTCCGGTTTGCACCTCGTGCTGGCAAGGAGCGGCGACGGTGGAATCTCAGCCAGCGCCCGTGGAGGGCTGGCCGCAGGGTCTGGGCCCCTGGACTCACCCAGGGCTGTGTTGACACGCGGATGCTGGGGCTTGAGCTGCCGGGATCCGAGGCTGCACATTTGTGCAGGTCCAGGTGGGGTCTGTGTTGCTGGGTGTGGACCACCCTTGGGACGGCAGCTTCCCAGCTCGGAGGTTCCACTGACAGCGACAGCGCCTGACGCTCACGCCCACCTGCCGCGTGCCCGACGAGCTTCCGGATGGAGCAGGAGTCTCCGGCAGCACCCAGGGAGGCGGCGCTGTTATTACTGTTATGACCCTCGTTTTGTGAGTCAGAATGCACAGAGATGGCGCAGCCGAATGACAGACAGAGGGCCAGCCCCGTGAACACTTCTCCTCGCGGGCGGGTGGGCTGGAGGGCAGCGCTGTGGGCCTGGGGCCTCAGACAAGTGAGAGAGGAGCAGTTATCACAGGACAACATTCTGCAGAGAGAAAACGGAGGCACAGAGGGACTCAGCCTTCGAAGGCAGAGCTGGGATGCAGACTGGGGGCTGCCTGGCCCCCGCCTTGGCCTCCTGCGTCTCCAGCCTTCTCGAATCCCAAACATCAGGGGTCTCCACGCCTGGTTCTTGGACCAGTGACAGCAGCCTCACCTGGCGACTTGCAGGGACTGCCCCACCCAGCCCCATGAGGTCCCCTCTGGGGCCGGCCCAGCCATGTGTGGTGACAGGCCCCCCGGGAGCCCCTGCCCTGAGGCCCACGGACCTGCGGGCATCTGTCCTCCCTCACCCTCAGGCTTGGGCTCCGTGCCCGCCTCCAACCCCTGCTCC